AATATCCAGTTGCTATGTCTTGGTTTATTCCAATTTTGCTGTGAAGTAATATGTGCATGTTACATAACAGATCATCCAATTTGCTGTGACGTAATATGTTCATGTTAAATTACAGATCATTCAATAATAATAGAATTTGATAATATTACTCTACCATTTCTAAATTATTTTAAAGAAACCGATGAGTGTGATCATCCAGATAGTAAAGAAGATTGGATTCTTGGTGAAACCAATTGATATCATTTAATTAGTAACATATAAATGTTTGATTCAGAGTTTAAGGTATATCATGACTGTTTTAAGGTAATTAGTATTCTTATCAAAGTAAGACGAGATTTGTACTTGAAAAGTGTTCATCAAATTAATTTTCTTCTTTTTTTAAAAATATATTCTATACTTCCAATATGATGACTTCATGTTTGCTAAAAAATGTTCGAAATGTAATTCATCTTCTGTTAGCCTAGAATAAAATTTTGCCATATATCACCCAATCATTTCTGTTAGGTATTGGTCGAAGATCGCATGCATAAATACTAATTTTGTTGGGAGTGGGTGGCCATGTGTACCGATAGCCTTTGTTCACGTATAGTAATGTAACAATAGCAATCACTGTTTAGCCCTTTATATTGAATGATTTCATTTCAGTTACAGTTATCAACTGAAATGAAATTATTCAATAAAAAGGATTAAACAGTGATTGCTATTGAAAAAAAACTGAATAAATTGAGACTGAAAAAATGAAATAATTGAAAAAATTCATATTGCATTGTGAAAAATAATTAATTTATGCAAATCCCTTGCAACATTTTTTGCAGCTTCATTTCATTTCGCTTCAATTTCCCCAAATTTTCAAAACTGAGGGATATTAACCAGAAAAAAAAACTACTACTTCATCACTTGTAATTAATGCTTTTAATTAATATGCTGAATGATATCATGAAATCTTTCCTTTGGACTCTATATCTATCCTAAAGCTTAGTTTCGAAATTTGTTGTGGGTATTCGTGTGTATGTACGTGCGTGCGTGCATGTGTGTGCTGTGTGTGTGTGTGTGTGTGTATGTGCGTGTGTTTATGTGTGTGTCTGTGTGTGCGTGTGTGTGTTGAGATTAGTTTCTGAT